AAGAGGACTGTTTCCAAGTTGACCTTGACGTGGCTAAGGGACTCGCGAGAACACATACCAGACAGGAGGAGGGCTGAGAGCAGGCCCCTATCCCTGGCACTTGAACAGGCATAAAAGGAATGCCAAGGTGATTATCTGACCCAGAATAAAATGGCCATCCAGGCAGGCAAAGGAGAAGGACATTCAGCTGTGTGTCTCTCATCGAGGTTAGTAGAAATGTCACAGAGAGATCAAAACATCAAATGCACAAAACCACTGGCTTTGAAAATGGTGTATTTGCAGCTCAAGTCTGCTGTGCTGGCTGGGCGAAGGGGTTGACAGCTACTCCCCCCACTGGTATTAATGAATTATCAGTGTGCACCCCCCCACCCCACACACTCTGCTTCCCAACGCCGAGGTACGGCTCGTCCCTGAGCGAAGAGAAGATCACTGAACGCAGCACGTCATCTCAGAGCCACGGCCAACATCTCCCAGGAATTCGGGAGGAAGTGTAACTTTATTCATCTGTTAAGCTCTGTTAAATGGTCCCTCACCTCTTGTCTTCTAAAGGGATGTCTGCGACCATTAAGGAAACGTAACCTGCACTTCCAGGGTATTTTGTGAAGGAAAAAGCAGTTTGACCTTGGGCGTCGGCTGGCTTAGTGAAAGGTCCCCTCCTGCGAGCCCTCCAATAGTGTCCTTGAAACGCAGTGATGCAGCACAAAATGGTGTTCTACGCAGTTGCTGGGTGTCCTGGTTTACTCCCGAGAGACCCCATTTACCCCTTGCCTCCTGGCGTAGTTATTAATCGTGGCCCCCTTGCTCTCAAAAGCTCTGGCTTGGTTAGGAGATTACATGGTCCCCCTAGTTTTAGGACACTTATTATACAGCCATGGCGACCACTTTCTGTGTTGTCCAGGGCAGTTTCCGTCCCCACTGCTGCCTTTCAGGTCAAAGCCTTAGTTCTACGCAGGAAGAACTAAGGTGGCTGTGTCCAGACACCTTCAGAAATGAAAAGATTCATTAATGGCCCTGGCCGGTGTGGCTCAGTTGGTTGGAGCGTCGTCCCGTAAGCCGGAAGGTCATGGGTTTGATTCCCAGTCAGGGCACGTGCCTGGGTCTGGGTTCAGCCCCTGGTTGGGGTGTGTATGAGAGGCAGTCAATTTCTCTCTCGCGTCGATGTTTCTCCCCCTCCCTCTCCCTCCTTCCCTGTCTCTAAAGTCAGTAAGCATATCCTTGGGTGAGGATAAAATATACATAAACATAAATAAAGTCATTAAAAAATTCATTAACTTGTCTCTTACACTTCATTCTCTGGGTCCTCCCCTCCTTTCTCTCTGTTTTGGGCATTACATTCTGCGACACACACTCCTTATACAAATGTCAGGAGTAGCCTCGCAGGACCACTGTAAGACTCTGTTCATTTAGAAGCGGGCAGCTGAATGCTTCTCCTTGCTCGTCTGTGTACAAAGTGCAATATATTTTATTCTTTCCAGTGGAAAGGAAGTCGAGGTCCCACTACTCATTGACATGGGACCGTGAAATTGAGCAATGCCTCAAATTATAAACATTTACTGAGTCATTACTGTGCGCCAGGCATTCTGTTACTGAAGAAAAAATGACTGAGGTGTTAGTCTTGGAGCTCATGACCTAGTAAAGGCAGAGACCACGTCGAGCAATAATTTTATGTGGCATCTGTCCTGCTGATGGCATGGGCAGCGGGCGAACAGGGTGACGTGAAGTCTGGATCTGCGGGTTGGGGAAGGTTGTGCAGAGAGGTCACAGAGGAGGTGACATGGGGACCGAGTTTAGAGGGAGGAATGAAAGCATCCATTTGTGTGAGGGATCCTGTGCCCACTGCGTTCTGAGGGAATGGCTGCCATTACTTTGGCCAACAGGCGCTGTCCCCAAATGTTGCCGTTGCTCTCAAACGCTGCCTTCCGTAGGGGAAGACCTTTAGTTCTCTCTCTGATGAAGGTCATTCTTACAATAGCCATCATGCGTCAATTTGCTGATGCATCTTCAAAGAGAGTTTTGAAAGTCCAGCTCTCTCCTCGGCCGGGAGGCGAATCAGACCTCCTGGGCGCACTCTCCCTGGTCTCTTTTACTCATCTGGAGACTGTCGCCCTTGCTTCCAGGAGGTGGCTCCCACCCACACCCCCTTCTCTTTCACGTAGGTGGTATTGCAGCGCCTATGTGTATATAAAGGTCCAGCGAGTCGTATGGTCCCCAAATGTCATGCTTACTTAACCCTATCTCGGTGTCGTGCTTAAAACAAGACACCGTAAGGACTCAGCGAACGAAGGAAACCCTCCACCGTGTCCCTGTGGTCTGGGCGCTGTCTTCACGCCTCAGTCTGATTTCCTCCCCTCGGCTTCCTCCCTGCCTCCAGTGACACCGATTTCTGTGTTCTGTTTCCCTCTCCTTCCCCTGCATTTTCTCCCGTGACAGTGTCACTCTCGTGATTTTACGTTCCCCTCCGTGCAGCGCCATCTAATCCATGGTATCGCTTTGGATGGATTCAATAATCACCTCCAGCCCAACTGCCCCTCCCCCACTTTTAACTCCCTTAGTCTCCTCCTCCCAGGTCTAGTCCACAGGCAAGTCCCAGACCCTGCAGCGAAAGAGTGTCCCTCGCACCTTCGCCACCTCCTGTCCTCTTACTGCTATACGGTTCTCTGGTGGCTTTCTCACCTGCCAGGTTACACCCGTCTGTCAGCCAGCGCGCACATTGATGACAGTTTAATGCTTCTAGAATGCAGAGCCCCCGGCTGAAATCCCGTCACCAGTGATCCATGTGGACACCACAGTCACGCTGGCTGGCTCCTTGCTGCCTTTCCGCTCTCTTGTCCACTGTCCTGTTTCCCTTGTAGAGAGAAGCAGCGCAGAGCTCTGAGGGTATGACGTCTGGACTTGAGTGTTGCTTCTGTCGCTGCTGGTTCTGTGGTCGTAGGCAAGTCATTTTCCTGTGAGTGAGAGCTGATCATAGTTTGACCTAAGGAATGGGGACAGTGGCTCAACCTACCACAGAGAATCACTGTAAGGACCCAACGAAGAAAGGGTTCAGTAGCTGTTAGCCATTAATAGATTCCATTTCAAGGGAAATATTGGTGTTTTCTACGCACGTCCTATACTTTCCTACCCCTGTGCTTTCCTCGTGCTAACTTTGGATTCTGGAATGTTCTCCCTTATCCATTTGTATTCATGTAAATCTTACACATCACATTCACGTGCTTTATGTAGCTCTTTGTGTAGCTTTCAGGCATCCTCACCCCCCCCCCCCCCGGCCACGCTCAGTCCAGCTCTTTGATTCACGTGCCTCCCCATCCCCTCAAACAGTGGCTAGTTTGATCTCTGCCTTGTATGATAATGATGTGTATGCATATATTTGCCCTGAAAATACAGGGGAAAACAGGAACTGTTTGGGTGAATATGTGTATTTTCCTTAGCGTCTAAATCAAACTAATATTAGAACTGTGTTTGTTGAGTGAATGAATGATTACTCCACTTGCTTACTTACGTTTGTCCTGATACTCAGGATAAACCTTGACAAGATTGATACCATCTCTTTGCCTAATCATTTCCTCGATCCCCCTCTCCGCCTGAACCCCTCCCCTGCCTCCCCCCCAGCCTCCTCCCTGCCACTGACCCTCCCCACTCACCCGATACTCTCTTCTTCACTCTCTTTTCCACTCCCCTCCCCTCTTCTTCTCATCTCTTTCTACAGAGTTTTCTTCCTTTCTGGATTTCTACCTTCTCATGTTTCCTCTGCACACTCATAGCTGAGCCCTGTGGGCACAGAGGGGTACTGCTTCTGAGAGGAGAAGTTTTCTGGCCATTTGGTCTTCTTTGGTCAAAAACGATAGGGCACGCAGCATCCCGTCAGAGTGCCGTGGCTCATCCCAGGCTCTGGGAAACAAGCCGTTGTTCAATGGCAAATACAAGTAAGCCCCGTTCCCCGTGAGAGGTCATGTCACAAGAACTTTCTGATTATTCATCTGGATGATTGTAGTGTATTTTGAGGGTGGTTTGTCTTTCTGAAAAAAGGGGAACAATTTTAGGGTTAGTGTCATGAGGTTTTTAAAAGGGGAATTTGACTAAGGGTCTCCAAGAATAAATTCTTAAATAAGTTTTTGTCTATTTTATGCTTGTCTTTTCTTTATTCTGCTAATTTCTCCCCCCTACCCCACCTTTTTTTCTTATTTGCAATACTATTCCGACTTACGGTCACCTCCTCCAACATCTTAACTGTTCTCCTCCCTTAATCCAGGGGTGTCAAACTCATTGTCACCACAGGCCACATCAGCCTCGTGGTTGCCTTCAAAGGGCCGGATGTAATTTTAGGACTGTGTACATGTGACTCCTCCTCGACTAGGGGCAAAGGGCTCAGGGGTGCCTCGGGGTAGAAACAAGGTGCCGGGCCGGGTCAAACCAGGTGGAGGGCCGGACTCAGCCCGCGGGCCTTGTGTCTGCCACCTGTGTCTTAGTCAGTATTCTGTTCCTTTTTTCTAAATCTGAAAAGCATTAAAAAATCACATTCTGTTATGTTTGCTATTTCTACACATCTTGAAATGTTTCTTGGAGGAATGTTCTTATGAGTTCTTTTAGTGACACCAATGGTAACCATGTAAATCAAACTCCTAATTAATTATGGAGCCTACACAAAACCAGTCTGATCTACTTGTATTAATGAATGTAAAGCTGAAAAAACAGAGTATTGCTTATTGTCTCTGTGTGGGACTGAGGGACACAAAGTTAACAAAATTGAGTGGTAGGTGGGAAAGTCAAACTTGAATTCTTACCTTATAATCTGAATCCCATTGTGATCGAAGACCACGTGGTGAGTTTAACAACTTTGAAACTTCTCTCCCCCTGCTTCCCTCTCTGAGCCCTCGAGGGTCAGCCGGCTGGGACGGGGCGGTCGTTCCAAGGGTCCTACGTGCTGACCCTGTGTGCATAGTATCATGGGACTACCATTCGTGGTAAGTTTGTCTCACATTGGCGTCTCTTTTCTAACTTAGGGTAGAAACTTAGCATCTGGAGAGGTCGGGTTCTTTCCGAGTGATGCCGTCAAGCCTTGCCCATGTGTAAGTATGATTATTTTATTTCTTACCTTTTGTTTTGGAGGCTGTAATTAATTGTGCAAGAATGTACAGTGGATACAGATCTGGTTGATTGTTAATTTCGTTAATACTTTCTGGAGTGATCATATTATTTCATGTTTAAATAGTATGGTCAATGTTATTAAAATTCCAAAATCATTGTGATTTGATTGTCAGAAAATATTTTTAAAAGTTAGGGGAATATAGGCAAGAGGGAAAAATTAATGCAGTAGAATTTACAAAATTAAATTGTCTTCAAGGTTCGTGAAAGAATAACCAAAGCTCCAGGTTAGATACCGAGTACAAATTTCTCTCTTCCCACTGAGGTGAGATGGTACGGTCTAATTCATTCCCTGGCATGCCGGGTTACGGAGAGAGATTGCACTTGAACTACCCAGTCTGAAAGCGTGCCAGAAAGAGTGGAAGTCGCAACGTGTTCAACCAAATCTTCAAATACATTTCATTGTGTTTTAGTTTTGTCATTACTGTTTCTTTAATGTTATTTTCTGAAAATGTCAAGCACACTAGGTAGATACAAGGAGAAGGAGTGAGTATTTATTCAAATATTACTATGGATGAAAATAACACATAACGTCTAGTGGTTTATGAGATTTATACATTTCTGTTTAGGGGTGACGTTATTTTATCTCCATACCTTGGTGTTCAGGGTGGATTTTCCTACAAAACTGTTAAAATCCTTGCCTCTATATAAATAAAATGGAGTATTTTTATGTCCATCTCTCCCAAAGTGCTGAGAGGTACAGATAGGAGCCTGGGGCTGAGGAGGAACGTGAATGAGACCACGCTGGCAGTCTGGTGACTGGAGGCGGAGCCCGCAGGCAGAGCCCTGAGCCACCGCCCAGGGCTAAGGTGGCGGTGCCTGTGCAGCCAGGGCCCCTTGGGGTGAGCAGGAAGAAAACTGTCCTGCAAAAGATAAGCCCGTCTTCCTCTTGGGTCTGGTCGGGAGGAAAAAACAAAGCACTTTTTTGTAAGAGTTTTTAACCTCAGATCCACAGTCAACCCAGGTGTGAGCCGGGATTCACACCAGCTTGGAGACCGAAGCAACTCTTAAGTGAAGGGTAGAAAGCGCACCTCTAACCATCCCATCTAACTTCCGTAAGATGTGCTACAGGAAGGAGCACATGTCTTCTATAGTTTATATGCCATAATCCCAGTGAAATATATGTTTTGAAACTATTCATCCATAGCAGAAGGTTCACCTCTAGCTATCATAAAGGCAGGAAAAGGCACTAGGGGAAAATGGTTAAAAATGAGAATACGTTCCAAGATGGGAGAGTATCCAGAAGGAAATGATCTGCGGTCTAAGAAATGTCTGCCCAGACAGGACCCAATCAGCCATGGAGGAAGTGGGGAGAGATTGACTCAGGAATGCGCACACATTTAAGACCATGGAGAGGCGAGGGAAGGCAGAAATAGTTTTCCCATCAAACTTCTGAGGCCATGTAGATCTTATTATCAAAACGGGAGTGTTGCAGATTGATTTCTATTTGTGAAAACAAAGAGACCTAAGAAAATATTTGAGGGATTTGAAGGGGTATAACTTCTAATATTATTTGTGATGTATCAGGATTTGACATCGGGGTTTTGTGTCAGGATGAAATTAGAAATGTAGGTCATTGATTCCAAATATTTACTTGTTGATAATTTTAGAGCTGTTCTGGACAGAAAGCTAATTTTTGGATATATAACTCTTAATCTGAAAGGACGGAAGAGTAACAGCCTATTATGAAAACAAACATATTCCCGTTGGCCAAACCGCTGAAATATGATCATTATTATTGTTAGAATGATGGCAACAAAATTTTTAATGACTGGATGGATGTAAACAAGGCCCAGGGATCCCATGGTGTGTATAACATGCAAAGACTTACATGATTCATGACAGATTTCTGCACCCAAGACAACCTGTCTGTATTCTTGGTCTTTTCTTAGCAGTTCGTCAACATTGTCCATCTCTGCACACTGTGTATTTTATTTGGTATTTTACAACTATTATTATGCCTGCATGGGCTTTGTTCATTTTCTAGTTTCCATAATCAACCAGAAGTTTCTTTCTTTATTAGCATAGAAGATGTAATATTCTTCTCTTTTGCAAAACTCTATAGGAGAAAAGGGGAAAGGAAATATTTTCCATGTCACTTCCAGGAAAAAAAGGTTTTCCAGGTGGTCACCTTCACCGGCCAGAGTTTAGAATTTGTGTTATTAAGTGTGTTATCAAGTAAGAGCCGATGTACAGTGTATATTGTTTGTGTCTTGGGAAAAGTCTCAAAGTCTTGGGAAAGCGGGGTGCTGTCTGGTTTTGCTAACATTTTCCTTTTAATTTGCTGCGATAGGATTAAAGTGCCTTGATAATAAATACCAAAAGTCTCCAATTCATATTTCTCCGGTTATCGCTCCCCTTGGAGGTGCAGTGGCAGTAAAATTAATGAAAGAATGAATTAAAGCGGGATGAATTATTCCCTACTTCTCCAACGTGCACTGTGATTCACCCTGTTTGAAATCGCCAGTGGATACTTCCTGGCTCCAGCGCTGAGTCAGCCGAACTGAATTAATGATTGATTTCTAAAAGCTTCCCTTAAGTAAACTTAATCTGTTTTTGCCTTTTCATATCCTAGGTGCCCAAACCAGTAGATTATTCTTGCCAGCCATGGTAAGTATTAAAAATGTTTCTGCAGCTAAGTGGAAATACCATACCCTCAGCTCCAGGACATCTAACATGTGGGGGCTAATCCACATTCCATTTCCATTTGGTGGACCGAGGTGTTTTCAGATGCAACAGAATACCCTAATGAATTGATGTATTGCTGACGTTTCCACGAGTTTATCAGAGTGGCGTGTGCGGGCACATGCACGTGCTCTGGACTGTGGATTTAAAGTCTGCAGTGGCCACAGACAGGAATGGACCTAAGCATATACGCATCTTGGGTTAAGCATTGTTCACTTTACTCTGGTGAGCTGGGTAGAACATCTGTGCTTGAAAGAATTTAAGGACGTTTCTCCGCATTATTTTTTTAAAAAGTAATGTAGTTAGTTGGTCCAGCAGCCAAAAGAGCTCCAATCTGCCACTAAATTAAAATCCCGACAGATGCTTATTTTTAGCCCCTGTTCTCTTCCACGTACGTCATGCAACTGTCCTGTGTGATTGTTTCTTACAGGTATGCCGGTGCTATGGAGAGATTGCAGGCGGAGACCGAACTTATTAACAGGGTCAACAGTACTTACCTGGTGAGGCACCGGACCAAAGAGTCAGGAGAATATGCAATTAGCATTAAGTAAGTAGGAGGAGGACTTTTACAGAAATAGATTTCCTGTTTGCACAGTGGCACAGACCACCCGACACATACAACACCCAAGTGGGAAACCAAGGTTCTAATTACAGGGGAAATGAGGCTTCTAGCAAGACAGTTCATTAGTACTTAAAATATCTGTTAGAAAACCAGTATTAAGTGTTATAGGCTGCTAATTGGCATAGTAGATCTCTTTCATAACATTGTATTTTGGTGACTTGGTGTGTGTTATATGTTTAATAAATTCTAAGAGTATAAATTACTAGATTTTGTTTTATTTTGTTTTTCTGTATTCTCCAGTGGAACTTACTAAATGAATGGGGCACAGTGGTTGGTCAAATGTAATGTCCCTTCCCACTTCAGATATTGGTTGTATCTTCAGCCAATCTAGTAAATATATTTTGTTAATTAGCTGTCACCAGTGTATTGGCATAGGTATATATTTTGTCTTTTGAATTAATTCCTGTAACGTTATTGGGGCAGGCCCTCCAGTAATTATTGATTTCTACTGATTAAAAACACATTTATATTCATAAGTTATTCATTGCCCACAGGTACAATAATGAAGCAAAGCACATCAAGATTGTAGCCAGAGATGGCTTATTTCACATTGCAGAAAATAGAAAATTTAAAAGTTTAATGGTAAGCATTGATTAGTTCTTTTCAATCTGTGGTCTTTATTTTTCTCTTATTAGAAAGGTCAGTTTAATTCTATAGTTTCATGGAAATTCTGCTCACTGAAAAGTTGTTTAAAGAAAATCATACTATACATTTGTAGCAGATCCTGAAAATTCCAGTTTCAAGACTGTCAGTAGTTTTATATTGACCTAGTCATGATTTTCATTGTAAGTGAAGTTTGAAAGTTTTATTATAAGTTTTAAAAGATTTCACTTACTTATTTTTAGAGAGACAGGAAAGGAGGGACAAAGAGAGGGAGAGAAACATTGATGTGAGAGAGAGGCGTTGATCGACTGTTTTTTGTACACACCCCAACCCGGGACTGAACCCACAGCCCAGGCATTTATTTGCCTTGACCAGGAATTGAACCAGCAACCTTCCGCTTTGCAGGATGATGCCCGACCAACTGAGCCAGACTGGTCAGGGCAAGTTGGCAAGTTGTAGTGAATATTTCAGAGTCTACACTATTAATGACTCAAAGTAATAGGCGAATTCAAATGCAGCTGACTCTCAGTTATCTGCAAGTTTTGCCTTGTGTTTGATGATAACCCAGCGAATATTTAATGTGCGTCTCTGCCTTCCTCTCCCTTCCTCTGCCTCTGTCTCCTCATTCAGGTGGAGGAAGGTACTTAAAATGATGACATAAAAGCTGCAATTGTAATTGGTAAAACACTCCTTACATTCAGGCTTGAATGTTGCATACAAAATGCAATATAATGTCACATAGAAAAATTTTTTTGCTATTTCATAAATTATCCGTGTTCTTCTTCATTACCTTGCACAATTCAACCTTAACAAGGCAATATTTTTACCACACAACAATCCATAGGAACTTTATATTTAAATAGAAATAGTATATTGTTACCATGGAAAAAAAGGTTGCTTTTGCTTTACACAAAGAAAGATTATTTTATTAATTTTAACAATTTAAATAATTACTAGAATGGTTTGCATGACACAGCTATAACCTGGCAGCCAAGGAGAGTGGACTGGAATGCGCATGTGTGAACAATGATGCCTTCACTGTACTAGTCAGTGGGGGTGGTAGACACTGTTGAGTGAGCATGTGGACTGTGTGGTTGTCACATTCAAAATGACTGAGTGAGTAGAGCAACGAATCTGCATCAGATTTTGCGTTAAGCTTACACATTCCTCTGTGGAAACTATTCGGGTGATTTAGAAGGTCACAGCTGTGGGCAACTGGTGATTGGCAGCTTCATCACGAAAATGTGGCTGCTCACGCATCACATCTTGTGCACAGTTTTTTTGAGAAACATCAAATCACCCAAGGAACTCAGCCTCTCTACAGCCCAGATTTGGCACCCTGTGACTTCTGGCTTTTCCCAAACTCAAATCATCTCTGAAAGGGAAGAGGTTTCCGATTTCACAGCACTGATGAGATTCAGAAAAATACAACCAGGCAGCTGATGGCGTTTGGGAGAACTGTGTGAGGTCCCAAGGTGCCTACTTTGAAGGGGACTGAAGTGTCATTTCCTGTGTACCATGTTTCTTATATCTTCTTCCATAAATGGCATATTAAATGGCTTGATATTTTGTGGACTTTGTTAACTTTATGTATAAACAATGCGTATCTCTCGTTATACTGCATATGCATTGCTCATAGTAAAAGGGTTCATATTTCCTTAAAAGTGGTCTCAAGTCTGTTTGTCAAATTTGAGAGAGTTTCCTTAGATAATAAAGAATTTGGACACAGGACGTAAGATGCATTTGCAGTGCTCTGCTGAGCACTCTGAGAACATCAGGAAGAACCACTCATCGATTGAACCATCAATCAAGTGACACATAACTGCAGCCTTCCGGAAAGCATCTCAAAGCAGTTTGCAGATGTTAACATCAAAGTTAAACTGAGAGCAAGAGAGCCTTACAAAATGAGCTGGCAAGAAAGCCTTATCTGAAAACTTGGAACCACTTCAGGACTCGGTGTTTTTAAGGAAATGAAGCATCCCAGGTTGAAAGAAAAGTAAGAAAGCTCTCTGGACATGAATATCACATTCCCCATCCAGAGGCGAAGGCTGGGCAGCAAGATCACATCCTGGAAAACGTAAACTCGGTCAAACTGGGGGCAGAGATGCAGGCATCCTGGCTGCGGGCAGTGACTTACCTTCCGTGGGAACAGAGAGACCTGTACCTGAGCTTCTTCCTGACGTGAAAGCCTAGGGGGGCAGGTGGCAAAGGGATGTGCAAATAATGAGCGACAGCCCCGGCTGAGACCTGATCAAAGCCTGCAAGGGGTGGGGGTCTCCTCTTTACCACAAGGCCCCCTAGCTTGAGTTTGCACCCGTAGGACTTCTGCAGATGGTAATGAGGCTGCTGCGCGATTTCCCAGCTCAGAGGAGGCTTCAAAAAAAATTGCATCAGGCCAAAGATGGCTTCCCGACTTGTCAACTTGGAAAGCAACAGAAAGAACTCCCTTCAGAGAAGACAGGCAGAGAGGATGATAGGTATCGTTGCTGGGAAGGGCCAACCAATTCAGCTTTGGGTCACCTGGGTTCAGCTGAAGAAAGTCCTGTAGGAGCCAGTCATCTCTGCAGCCACCGGATGAGTGGAGGTGGATCCTTGGTTGCTCTCTGCATAAGAAGCAACGGAGACCCAGAATTCAAATAATTTGTACCAGAGAGCAATGAAGGTTTCTGCAGTGATGTTCTGGAAAGGGAATTAAAAGTGCTTGTCGCACTAAAATGAGCTACCCTTATATGGTCGGTGTAAAGAATCAGAAAGGCCACCACCAGAGACCCAAGCCTATTATTTTTTCCCGGGGATCTTCCCCAAGGAAGCGCACAGCACAGTAGGGTTAAGGGAGGGGATTAAACATCAATAGCAGCCCTGGTGTGGCTCAGTGGGTTAAGCACCAACCGCAGACTGAAAGGTCGCTGGTTCAATTCCTGGTCAGGGCACATGCCTGGGTGGCAGACCAGGTCCCTGTTTGGGGGTGTGCATTCATAGGCATGACTACTTTTCAGCCAACGACAGACCTCGTGTATGATGGAGGTCCCATAACATTACAATGGAGCTGAAGAAGTCCTGTCACCTAGTGATGTGGCAGCCACCCTCACGTCCTAGTGCAGCCGACGACTCAGGGGTCTGGTGGTGCAGGTGCAAAGAAACTGCTGTGCTGCTGGTCGTATAAAAAGGATGGTGCATGCACGGTAGTCGGTAATGACGAGGGACAACTGTGTTACTAGTTCAAGTACGCACTGTACTTTTAATCATTATTTTAGAGTGCACGCTTTCTCCTTATTGAAAAAAGAGAAGTTGGCTGTACACCGGGCGCTGGGTGGCGCTGGGTTGCGCCGGCACAGCCTCTGGCACAGAGCCTCTTGCTGGCATCCTGGCCTTGTGCATGATTTGATCTCACGGTGGCGCCTGCGCATTGGCGTCATGAAATCGCCCGAAGGATGCATTTCTGAGAACATGTCCGTCATTAAGTGACTCATGACCGTAACTGTAAGAGAAAAGGAAGATAAGCAACTGGAAATCTCAGCCCTAGAAAAATACCTTTGCCAGGTGTCCCAGATGGCTGGGAGAAGGGACGACACATGACAAGATAGCTGCACTCGTCTGGAGCTGCCCCGGCACCGCAGTTCTGTTCATTTGTTTTACATTGAGTCCTTCCTGTGTGAAATCACTGGGTTTTTGCAGAATTCAGAAAGTACTATGCACTTCCTCAGATGCTCTTTAATTACTACATACATTCATCTGTGCCAAGACTCTCCCCATGGTGCTGTCCTGTGGACCTAAACTAGGAAATACTACGCCAGGGGGGACGGCTCCTGTCAGTAACCAGCCCCTTTGGAAGGGGGTAACAGGTCCATCAATTTGGCTGCGCCGGGGGCCTCTCTGGGCCAGGATCACCCAGCTTCGAGGAGTGTCCCTTTCTCACGTTCCTGTCCAGTAGCCCGGTTCCCATCGTAAGCAGGGTCTGTGGTTTGGAGTGGTCGTTTCTTCAGAATAGTTCGCCGTCTGCCCATCTTTGGTGGTAGAGTTATATTCTCCTACCTGTGAAACTCCTTAGGGCCTGGAGTTAAATTCTAATTTGGAAAGGATGTGGAACAGAGGCAGACTCCAGGACGCGTTTTACATCAGCCAGTTCCTCAGAGGGAAGATAGGCCTTGGGTGGTCGAGACGACCTTTTTCCCCCTCGGGCTTCTTCCTTAACGTGGTGAATCAAAAATTGGTGTTTTTTCTAGTCAGGAAATTCAAATTCTAAATGAATTTCTGCATCCAGATGACAAGACATTAAGTTCGTTCTAATTGTCATGTATACCACACAATTCGTGTGCAGATGCTGTCTATAACTCATCTCCACTGCCTGTTGCCTTGGAAACCGGAATGGCTGGCGCTCATTATTTTTTGGAGTGACTTGAATTGCTGGTACCTCTGTGTCAGTGGGAGATAAAGGGAGCTGAGCCATTGCTGCTGTTTAGAGTCTTACTTACTTGTAGTTCCTGAAGGTCCGTGGCCACTAAAGCAGGGGTGGATTAGACTAAAATACGGGAAGCACAGCAGCATCCATTGGAAAGATGGACGGTGGCACCATTTAATTCTGCCTCGTTAGAATCGTGAAGGAAGATTTTCCCTCAGAAGACTGTAAAAATGGAACTGAAACCTACCGCATGCGTAGTGAAGTGGTAAAGAAGTGTTTTGCAGCTTATTCGTTCATAGCATCCCAGGGCTTCTAGACAAGTTTGCAAAAACTTGGATTCATACTAATTCACAATACCCATAAAATTCGTATTAACTATAACAAGCTTATGCAGAAGTTCAAAGTTACGGGCTTATTCCTTTCAGGTTTGTTTTTGTATTTTTACTAAGGAAGATATCTTGCTCCAGTGAAGGAACATTCCTAAGAGAACAGCTCTCGATACTGTTGTCATTGTCACGATGGACACAAGTGCACAGCTCTTTTGGGGACCTTACCAAATGTTCCCTTTCATTGAAAAGTTTTTATGTAGTAGTGTTGGTCTCTAGAACTTAACTCCGAACCTTGCCTTTGCAAACCATGTTAAAAAAATAACTAAAATACAAATGCCTTATTCTGATCATTCAAACCATTTTGAGGATATATGCATTTCTATCTGGTATTTTGTCTCCCTCCTCCTCCTCCTCCTCCTCATTCTTCTCCTTTTTAAGTGGGTCAGATCCCAAATTCCATTGCTTCATGAAGGATCCCTGTAATCGGGGTCCAAGGAAGGAAGTAATATATATGTATATAATTTTATTTTATTTATTTATCTTTAGAGGGGAAGGGAAAGAGAGAGGGAGAGAAACATCAATGTATGGTTGCCTCTCATGTGTCCCCTGGTGGGAACTGGCCTGCAACCCAGGCATGTGCCCTGACTGGGAATCGAACTGCGATTCTAGAAATATATATATTTTTAAGTGACAGATACAATGTGTGTAAAAGCCTAGCATCTCAGGTCTAAGCCAGCAAAGTCCCTGGCTCATCGTGGACTCTTAGCAAATGCTCCCTCCCTGTGTGCTCCCTCCTTGCGGACGTGTATTTGCCAGATGCTATTTGCTAATCATGTGATGTAGTTAAGAGCACAGCTTTGGAGGCAGACCCCAGCTGCACGACCGTGCTCACACGGACTGACCTCCCAGAGACATGTGCATCAGTGGGGACAAGGACCGTCTGTCTGTCACTCACTGTGTGAAGATGTGAGAAGCTACGGAAAGGCCAGGTCGGGGGATGGCAGCGGTTGTTAGGATGGTCACCTGTACCAGGTGCTTCTTCCGTGCTTACCGTAACCTGTGAAGTTGCTTGTTACCTGTTTGACAGACCCGGGAGCTGAACAGTGTCCATTTGCTTTCTCTTGTGCTTCAGCCCAGCCCTGTGGACTTGTGTCTGTGCACGTGGTCCTTGTCACCTTATGTCTGTCCCCAGCCTGAACGCTCTGCATGCAACATTCCTCTCCTCCCCCTTGGCCCTTCACATTTCACATGTTCCCCGGTGTAAGCCGGGCTGGCTCCATCATGGAATCTTTTCTCATCTTCCAAAACAGACGTGCAACAGGAAGCTCTGTCTTGCCTTTGAACTCTCACAGCCCTCTCTTTCTTCCAAGGGTGAGAACTCTGAGAGAGAGGGTCGGCCTTATGTTGCTAATCTTTGCGACCCCTTGACCTCCCCACACCATGCATTTCACAACTAATCTGCATCCGGTCATAAATGATTAATATATCATTGTCAATTCTCTTTTTCTTCTTCCGGCCATTTTTGGCCTGATTGATTCATTTTGGAAACTTTGACCATAGCTACTGAATGGAGATACTGAGTTGGTATCAGGGTGATTTTTAGAAGAAATGAGTTGACTTCACACTGTTTTTAATCAATTGTGTAGCAATAGAAGCAACAAGTAATTCGCTGAAAGGGATTTTGCTTTGATTTTCACTTCAGGTGTTTGTAAGAGCCGTTATATCTATAGTATCATCTGATAATAATAGGAGTTTTTTCCATTATAAAGCCATTATTATTTAATTTCTGTTTCAAGTAGAGGCATTCAGGTGTGTGTAGAATCTATGATTCTCAAAAGAAATTTCCTGAAATTTCAGTAGGCAAGGTGGTGGGGAGTTATTATATTAGGCTCGGATATATTTGGACAAATTCGGTATTAGAGGGAATTGGAAGCGACCGCATCATTGACCTCCGTGAGCACCAGAGGGTGGGCAGAGCTGTGAGCTGGGTGCTTGTACTTCAGGGTAAGCCAGAAGCAATGTCAAGTAGCATTTGTGGTTTATCGGCCTTGGTTTACGTGGAAAACTGTGTCGACAATCCAGTTTGTTTTTTTCTGCGACATTGAGAGAAAAATGCAGGAAACTAGACATTGCTATATATTCAGCAAACAGCTGTTTCCTTTATTTTTGCCTAGAAAGGCAAGTATTTCATAAATAAGAACAGTAATTGCTGTTCTGAAACTGAGGTTCAGTATGGTTTCTCTTCATTGACCACACTGACCACAAGATGGACAGGATGTTCTCTGCCTGTGAATAACAACAGGGGACGCTCACATTACAAATGGCCTGACCAGGAAAGGCAGTTCCTGGGCAGGTGCTGCGTGTGTGCGGATCAGTAGTTACGTGTCCATAGGCTTATGGAAAATGTAGCGTTAAATCAGTCATCCTCATACATCTGTATGCCATGTCCAAGTGTCTGAGAACAGAAGCTTATTAAAAATTGTCTTTTGTTCTCTTCACCCTAAAGGAGCTTGTGGAGTATTACAAGCATCATTCCCTCAAAGAAGGGTTCCGAACCTTAGACACCACTCTCCAGTTTCCGTACAAGGAGCCAGAACATTCAGCTGGACAGAGAGGCACCAGGGCAGGCAACAGCTGTAAGTATTGTCGCTGAGAACGCAGTTCGCCGACACTTGTGCGGAGGCACAGTCCCACCAGACATGTTTACCCCAAAGTTTGAAACGTAAACCAGCTCATATGCTAATGCACTTAGCAAGGAATTTTTCTTGCTAAGCCGAATCAGACAGGCCAGCGGGTTTACGACTGTTTCAAGATAAGGTCCTTTGTGCCCAACTAAAAATCACATTTGTGTTCAGAAATCCAGCAGAAATGTAAAGGCAGGGTTAATAGGTAAGGTTTGTACTTTTCAGGGGCTTTTACAGTAGTCAAATTCTTCTTAATTTACCTGTGTGTGCGGTCCTAATGCCGTCCGAGTAACGGGACTTAAGCAAGGCCGGTGCCCAGCTCTTCTCGCCCAGCCTACTGTCCCCCATCTCCTTACGATTCTGTTTCAAAGATCTGTTTTCGAATCACATCTCCTTTGACGCCAGTATTTCTAAAAGTTCACATCGGCCACTTTCCCTCAGAGCGAGCGCTGTGCCTGCCCCGTTCACCCAAGGTCAGCACGCAGACCAAGAGCAGGTTCCAGCCAGAGCGTGAGTTCAAGGCACAGACGATTTTCTCATCACCGTCTAATGCCACACCATCTTCTGGAGGAGATGGAGCTTGTAGGGAGGCCATCGCGATGACAAATGTCGGGGGTAAAACGTGATTTCCTTCTCTTACTTTGATTTTTTTTAGAATAAAGCTGTTTTGGAGGAGAACTGAATACAGTTTTATGACTCTTAGAATCCTTAGCCTAAGCAAAACTGGATTTTCCAGAGGTATTTCCAAAGAGAATTTATATCACTGCAATAGAGCGTCAACGTCTTTACCCCCTCGCGGCAGAAACTGAAAGGAAAACAGTGAGCGCTCAGGGCTCCGGCGACATCAGTGAGGTTTCACACGCTTCACAGAAGTAAAAACCCTGGCAGCTTGTCACATCAGCCAACAGGCGTGTGTTTTATTTGAACGACTTAATAGCTGTTCTCTCCACACGGGTTCCTGGTAAATAACCACACTTGTGCGAAGCGGAGCTTTAGGGGGAAACCTCAGTCGCCCACTAAAAGTTCCCTGTCTAATTTTTAGCCCAGGGTTTCTCGGTTATCTTAGAGTCTCACCTAGGTTGAGGAGTTTTGTGTTTTTATATTGAATAAAATATAAATCACTCATAAAGTGACCGGGAAGAAGGGAGCTGGTACTTCAGGCAGCAGTCGTGGCCCAACGGCCTGCACGCCAAGGTCGGGCCACGGTGCCCTCGGAAGGGGATTGTAACCTCAGGTCAAGTCTGTGATGCGGCCCAGTGCCTTGTTTACTTGATGCTGACTCTGTACAAACGGGTGTTTTCTACGACAGTGGGTGTTTTATCAACACAAAAGGCAATGGGTATTTTACGAAAGCCACGAGGGTTCTGCGGATTCCCCGAGGGGTTGTTCGTGGAACGTTCGGCCGGGTGTCCATGCGTGGTGAGCACTCAGTAAAAAATTCAGCTGCTGCTCACGCTGCCTCTCCAGCTTCTACTGCCACCTCTCACGCCTCTTGTAACATGGAAAACATTTTCCTGTATCTGTCAGAGTTCAGTAACATGACTGATTTTGACTCCTAGCCATTAATACCTTTTCTTTCATGGTTTTAAAAATATACCTTGCTTATCTCAAGTTCAGATGAAGGGCTAGCCCTTCACTGAAACACCCTTCTGTGCTCGTCCGGCAGCAGTGGGAAGAAAGAAACACTACATGGTCTGCACAAAACACAAATGCAAGATGTCTTTACAGTCCGTACCTCTGCTAGACATCGCCTAAAGATAGCTTTTACCAAGAGGCATTTCCTGGGGACAGTGGCTGGGACAGTGGCACGGGCTAGGACACCCCATTGCTCCTCAGAGGTGGCAGAGCAGGCGAGCTGCCACCTACAGCCACCCTGTGTTCTGGGGAGAGGTCGTGGTCGGGGTTGACGTTCCCACTCTGGAGACCGGCTGTTGACGGTTATTGTGTTCTTAGAGAACACCGCACCCTCGCCCCCGTAAAAGAAAGTCCCCGAGCATTGTAGAGGGGACCACTCGCTGCTGTGCTAGTCCAAGCTAGAACACTCTGGGGCAGGTGACCAGCTCGTTTTCAAATTAGTAAAATATGGTCCAATTATGACAAAACTCCCTTCTGCTGATGGGGAAAAATACAGTAGAATGAAGCAGGAGGCCAGAGTATCGGGCAGGAGGGCAGCTAGCACTTCCCAGTTAGGAGCCCACTGCAGGCAAGACTATGAGACTTTATTGTTTTTGTTTGTGGAATGACTTGAGTGTTTCCAAGACAGAAAAAGAGAGACAGAAGGAAGCCAGAGCAGGGAGGGGTCTCAGGTGGGGCCGGGAGCTGTTGGGGTTCCCTAGGAGCTGCAGTCGCTTTGTGGGAGACACCAGGTCCTATCCCCGGGCTCTGTAAGGATCCCAGCACTGTCCGGCGTGGCCACGGCAAGCCTGCCCTGGACTCTGCTGTGCCCGAAGGACGTGTACGTTCGAAGGGCACTGAGCGGCCTGTGTGCCTTTCTTGCTCCGCAGTGAGTGTGTAATTATTCCAGGCCTGCTCACCTCTGACCTTAGGTGAGTCACGGAGCTTGCCTGGGCCTCAGCTTTCTCATCCAATGAAGGAGGAGTGAGATTAGACAGGTTCTTCTGCTCTCTTACCGATAGCATCTGAGATTTCTTTGTACACGTGAGAGGAGGGGGCGGAGAAGAGCGTAATAGACCAATTACGCCAGGAAACACTGCCCCATTGGCTATCTCATAACATACGAGCAGGCCTCACACGTTTTCTCAAGTTCCTATGAATCAGAACCGCAGCCTAGAGTCGGCTGATTGAAAACAAAAATGTTGGCTATCCTTGTATTTAGATAACCTCAAAGTATCGCTCTCAAGGTCGTACCAGTGCTGGAAGGGGACTCGAAACCGCTCAATCGAGCGATCACGGCTCACGCCGGTGACGGGACCACAGAGAGCGGGCCGCGCGGTTCTCCGGGGACACACCGCCACTTCGGTGGGCTGCCTGCTTCCAAGACGCACAATCTGGGTTTAACCGTGAGGAAAGGCCGGACAGACCCACGCTCAAGGGCATTCCACAGAATAATTGGCCCGCGTTCTTTAGAAGTGTCCCTGTCGGGAAAGGCCGAGGGGCCTGAGGCATTGTTTCAGGGTCAGCTGGACTAAAGGGACCCGAAAGGACCTTCAGTGCGTGGCCCTGGATCGGCCCCTGGAGCAAAAACGCATATAATCTCTTTTTCTGGAGAGGACCTGCCTGGCACAATTAACGGCTTTTGAACAAGTTTCTAGATTCATTGATAGTATTTTTTTCTTTTACTTGTGATAACTGTACTGTGGTTACATAAGAAGAAAAATGCCCTTTGTTTTTAGGGAGTACAGATTGATGTAGAAATAAAGGTCATTATGTCTGCAGTGTATTCTAAAATGGTTCAAAAAACACAGAAATTGGGAAAGCAAACATAGTAAAACGTTAACATTTGAGGTGTTTAAGTGAAAGTCTATGGGAATTGTTTGTATTGTTCTTGCAACTTTTTTTCAGGTCTAAATTACTTCAGAATTGAAAGTTGCAATAATTGGAGACGATCCCATGAGTGCATAAATCTGACAGAATTGTCTCCTTTTCACCTGCTCCAGGTGGCAGGGGTGCCGGGCACACTGATTTGGGGGTATGGAGAGCACCCACTGGGGTGTGTGTGAAACCACCTCTGCCTTGCCTATGACCCCATCACATTTGCTTACTTATTCATTCATTATTTGAGTCAACAAATATTTATTTATTCCACGGTAACCGTACGCCAGGCCCTGTGCTAGACACTGGAATTACAATAGTGACGACTTGGTGGACAGGAGCGAACACACACAAGGAACGTCATAAATAACTTTGAGTTTTAATAAGCCGGGTGAAGCAGAAGATGGGGGGAGGGCGTGACAGGAGGGCCCTTGTGACCCGCAGGGGGAGGGAAGGGCGTGCTGGAGCGGTGACCTTCGGGTGGGAAGGGCAGGACCTGTGTGGGTGGCGGAGCACAGGCAGAGAGCCACCGAGAAGAGGTAGCTCGTGGGCAGGACGTTCAACAGGAAGGGACTTCATGTGCATGAAGATAGGGAGGCAGGCGATGTGTGTGGAGCACAGTGGGGGGATTGTAACAAGCGCAGTGGAAATAGATTAAGGCTTTATGAGCAGGAAATGATGTAAACAGATTGATATTATGTTAGAAGGTCACTGGTGCCCTGGCCTGTGTGGCTTAGTTGGTTGGAGCATTATCCCATACACCAAAAGGTTGCAGGTTCAATTCCTGGTCAGGGCACATGTCTGGGTTGTGGGTCTGATCCTCAGTCTGGGCGTGTGCAGGAGGCAATCAGTCGATGTTTCTCTTTCTCTCTCTCTCTCCTTGCCCACCTTCGTCTTTCTATGAAAAAAAAAAAGTTCTCGGGTGAGGATGAAAACATAAATAAATAAAGGATCCCTGGCTACTCTGTGAGGAGGGGCTGGGGAGGAGGCACAGGCAGAAATCACAGGAGTGGGGAGGTGACTGCCAGTGTCCCCTGGAGGCATGATGGTGGCGTCAGGGACAGTGGGGCAGCAGAGTGGCCGATTTCAGTGTATTCTGGAGGACGAACCGATTGGGTAAAGGAATTGGGGTAGAACTAGTACAGGTACGACACGGACTTACTTTCCTGGGACGACTGGCCCACGGGGGAGCAGAAGAGGTTCTTGGTACCTGTGCCTGCTCCGGGGTCCAGCAGGCGGTTGGCACCGAGGAGAGTGGCTGGGTTGAAAATCGAGCTTTATGAATCCTTGACACTTCATTTTGTAATTTACATACAGTGTGATGTGTACAGAGGTCTGATGATTTCTTTTGGTGCATCGTTCCCAGAAGCCTCAGGAACTGGCCTCCGATGCTTCTTATTCTCGGGTTGCACTTCGCACAAAGCCCTTCATGAAGCAGGTGCAGAAAGGCCTCAGTAAGG